AATGAAGGTTTTATTATATAATTTGGTATTTATAGTTATTACCATTTTCCTGTTGACCACTTTACCAACAGGATTTTCGCAAACTATAAAATATACCAATATTACTTTTACGGAACCTTCCGCTCCATCTAATCATACCGGAGTACAACCGCGCATTATAGATGTTCAGCAGTATAGAGATAAACCGGGTGTAGCAGTTGTTCGCGTAGCTCGGGAGAATTATACAGTTGGCATTAGTAAATGTTATGAACGGAGGATATTACTTCGTGTTATTCAAGAAAATGAAATTATTATACCAATAAATTTTGACAATAATGAGGAGATACAAGATATCAATTATTGCATAGTAGCTAATAAAAATCCTATACAAATGTATCCATTATTTGATCAATACATTTTAGTAACATATATTCATGCGACTAATACCTCTGATAATACAACTTTTGTGGACAAAGGTGTAGTTTTAGATTGGAGCGGGAACAATAAAAGGTTTGTTAATATTAAATGATAGTATAAGTATTTAATAATAGTATAAAATATTTAAATTAGTAATAATTTATTACATATCATTATACGGCAGTGCACTTGATTTTGGACCATCATATTTGTCCCAGGGGAATTGGATGCCAAATTCATTTGTAGTAAATAATATTACTCCAAAAAAGGGATTTATGTATTTATCCGGGACTAGAACAAGTGATTTCGAATGGAGACAATATGTGCAGTATGTTGCGTTTTTGTATTTTGGATATTTGCTAGGAGAATAATCTTCGAGAACTATGTAGATTTGATAAAATTTAATTTAGCCATCAAAATCTACATATTTACGGAGTATCATTTTCCTAGAAAAGTCTCATTTGTTAATGATGTACACAAATACGCAAGATTAAATTTATTTACTTTTTAGCAATGGTGATGGAAGCTTCAGTTTAATACAAAGCGATAGAATCTATGTTGAGAATTTTACCAGCTTTCAAATAACCCAATTTGCAACTTTAAACGGTGGATATGCGATTGTATTCGGTAATACAACCACTAGGGTTGTAGATACTAACGATCCTAACAATACGGCAGACCTTCAATTTTCCACGAAATTAGGAATATTTGCTATAATGTTGAAATATAATCAAACGAAATCACCTCAAAAAATTGCTTTATATGAAATACCAATCCAGAACATAACATTAACTAGCCTTTATTGTTCTGTCAACTACGCTTACATTGGTCATTCATGCATTGCGGGTGCATTACGTAGGCAAACCTCACCTACTGCCACTACAACAACAAAAGCATTTTATGTGAAAATACGGTTTCTTTCCTTCGGATCTGTACTTCTATCGGACGCAATATTTCCAAAACTCAACATTTCTTTTCCGATATTTAGAACACTACCTCTTGGTGGATACGCATTAATAACTCGAACTCAGAACACAGGAAGAACTCTTGATTTCGCCTTTGAACTTTACGATGAATATGATAAATTAATCAGTTATAACTTTCCATTAAAGCCTATTGTTGGAAATGCGTATGGCGCTTTTGATATATTGAAAAATAATAAGATGATAGTGGCACAAAATGAAGCGATCAATTCTTGGAGTCTTCTTTCAATTGATATACCGCCACTTTCCCAATATAATGGTAAATGTCTTTAAATTTAATAGCATGAAAATGAAATTGTTTAATTTAAATAATATTATGCTTGTATCTTATAGATACTGGTTATGGTAATTTACATGTGAACACAACATACCCTCCAAAAGGTCTTAGTGATCTACCAGTAAATTACCTCAGTATTTCCATTTCATATCAAGAATCTATAGCGCTCAATGATGGCAATTTATATATCTATCAAAACCTTAGTGAGATCAGAATTCTTCGACAGTTAATTAATGCGAAAACTTGTATCCAATGCAAAGTTTTAGGCAAGGTCATCACAATTGATGTGCTGAGTTGTACTTTTAATGATCCAATTGGGAATTATTATATAGAGGTGGATAATAATTTCATAAAAAGCTCAGAATACGATGAACCTATACTTGGAATTTATCCGAATATTTGGACTTTTAAGACAGGTTGATTTATATAATTACAATAATTTAGTTATTTAAGGTTATTTTAATTACTGTAACATTGGAATTTCATCAATTAATATTAATAGATGATTTATCAACTGGACCGCGTGTTGGTAATATGACCTAAGATTACAAGGTTGATCTTTATTAATATGCGTGATCTTAAACTCAAACTTGTGATTAAATTAGGTGACATATATGGAACACTGCGACTAACAAATAATGGAACCAAGTATTTTCAAGGATTGAGTGACAATGAAAGACATACTTTTTTTATTGCTTTGATAAATGAACTCACAGAAAGAATTCCTACAAAGAAAGGAAGGTTGAGTACCACTGAACATTATCAATTAGATCTATCTGATTTGTCGAAAGTTATTATCTTGCTTTTTATTAATGAGACAAGTAATAATGATGACAAAATGTCTGCCATATACATATTGGAAAATTTAGACCTGTTAATAAAGAATAAAGAATATACAAATATATTAACAGGACTTACTTCGGTTTATCTAGATGAAACATATGGATATCAACGATCTCGTGAGAACCATATATTTTTTATTTATGATTTATTTATTCTAATTTAAATAATTGATTTTATCTATCCGTTTTAATAGCGAGCATTTCAGAATACTTTAGCCTACACAAGGCTAAGTTAATTGTATTGTTTTTAGTCATATCCATTTTTATATTAGCATTCTTACAAGCCTTGGGAATATTTAACCGTGCTAAAGCAAGGGCAAAAGAAGCAGGAGAAGAACCAGAATACGAAGAAGTAATAAATTTTCTTTAGTTAAAATAATTTAATTTTTAGCTACTTTTTTCTGCATGTCTAATATTCACAAAAATATATAGAGCCACTTTATTATTCTCCCACTTGGTATTGCCTTATTTCGTTTTGGCACATTCACAGCATTTGTTATTCTTGATTCCAAAGCCATCCCATATCTTTTTATACCGAGGTAAGGTTATATATTACTTAAATAATATTAGATAATCATCTATCATTAAATTTATCTTTTTCATATAATTAGTGTAACATTTTTAGTGATTCCCACAATAATCAACCGTTTAAAATAAAATAAAATATATATATAATTTTGCTAACAATATGAATTTTATTAGATATTATACATTAATTCTAGCGTCCTACTCGGTCCTATTCCGATATTTACCTTAGCATCATTAAGTCTTTCAATACTTACCAGTGTGATTAGTAAAATCTTCTTTATTAGATTTAAAGCATTTTCACCTTATTTAAGTCATTTTACAAAGGAAAAAGATAAAAATGCCTTACAAAAATTTGAAATTTTAAATTATGCAATAATTTGCCGATAATTAGGATAATAATAAAGTAGTTTATTAGCATATTATTAGGCCATACAAAGCTAACTTTTCAGCAGTCCGCCTTTTGTTTTATTTTTAAAAAATTATATACAGTCAACCCCCTCTATAGTAACCTCCTCTATAGTCACAAAATTAATATAATTACAAAATTTATTTTTACCAATTATTTATAATTATGTAGAAAATACCTCTATATTAGTCACATTCCTTTATAATCTTTTTTTTTTGTATCCTAAAGGTATGACTATAGAGTCAGGGATGGTAAATGACCTGGTCATTTGATCAAAATTCAAATGACCAGGTCAATTTGGGTCATTAGGTTATTTGGAATTCCTCAAAAAAGTTATCGAGCTTTATTACTTTTCTAATCATACACGTAGCTATATATTAAAATAAAAATTTAATTAAGTCAATTAATATTTATGCCTTAAGTAAAGCTGTTAGAGATAATAAATTGCGTGTATTTTGAAATTTTCATGTAAATTGAATAACTTTTTAGGTTTTTAACCTGCAATTTATATTAGTATCAGTTTTATCATGTGACAAACCCAAAACATAGTAATGCTAAAACGTTATGTCGGTATCACTAGTATAATTATATTTATAACAAATTAAATATCAGCAAGAATTTTTTTATGAAATTGTAATAACATTAAATCTAAAACTATAATATTTTCACAGACAAAATTCTGACAAATCAAAATTTTATTAAAGAAATAGTCTAACATACTAAGTATCAAAAAAAAAAAAAAATAGAAAAAGAACCAAAAACAAACCAAATACGAAAAATATAAGACATAAATATTTGAATCTATTTTTTAAAACACAAATAGCTAATAAAAAATAATTGTCGTGGCTGATGCTGAAATTTGGACCTATTTTGTTAGGGATGTTTTTTCCTGCTTTTTTTTAGGGTTGGGTTAGAATTTAGGGATAGAATTGATAATTAAAAAGTATATGTGGATTCTGGCAGGGCTTATCGTTATATTTCAAATCAAGGCCCTATATTTCAGCATCAGCCGTGACAATTATTAAAAACATATTTGTTTCGCTCCAATATCAAACTAACATTTAAATTTATTGAATAATCGTTATACACTTATAGTTTTACTACTTCGCTTTAACTCTTTTCACGAAATCTATAAACTTTATAACTCTCAACTTCATATTATAAGTCTATATTATAGTCAGTTTTCTATTATTTGGGATTACGAAGAACAAAGTTTCACAAAATACGTGTTTAATTGCTTTATAGTACTTATAAGTTAAACGTTCAAACATACCTCTCATCTAACTTCCGAATTACTTTGTGGATTACCGAATTACTTTGACAGTTTATAAAACAAGGTATATACTTTAAGATGTTTTTGGTATCAAGTTTGGCCAATTCGTATCCGTGGCCGTGGCTGCCATCCAATCAAATTTAATGTCCACGATGTTAAGATACCCGAATATAACCTCATACATATTATTCGGGGTTATGCTCTGCTGACCTAGCCGGGATATGAAAACAAATTATATAAGTTTATATGGCTAAACAAGATTAATTTTTCGTTTCAGATATTGTATGTACCATAATTATTCCCTTGAAGCAAATTCTAGTTGCATCATTTCAACTTTATATAAATCATAATATGAGCTGTTTTTGTTTTTTAAAAATAGTCGGCATCTGTTTGCTGATTCAAAATTTTTTTTTTGAATTTGAATCCTGACTTTTGATCCGGCCGGGTTATAAAAAACCAAAAAATTAACATTGTATGGCCTTAGCTGTGTTAGTTTTTAAATTTTGCTCCGGATTTACACTGGTTAGAGTTGAAACCTCTCCGATACTACAGTCAACCCTCTTTATAATCACAAAGTTGGGATGATAGTAACTTTTTTTAAAAAAAATGTGCTTATAAAGAGATTGTTCTTATATAGAGGTTTTTTTTTATATATTTGAACCAATTTGTTTTACAAAATTAGGTGCTTATATAGAGGCGTGATTATATAGGGTGTGACTATAGAGAGGACTGACTGTACTTTCGGAATGTCTTCATACGAAGCTAGTTTCTGATTTTTTTAAAAAACCTGAAATTACGGAAATCGAAACCCCGAAGCTATAATCCGTAACTTATATTCATTTCTATAAATAAAGTTTATTAATTTGTTATTTATAGTAATAAATAATATATCTAGTTAAATGAGTGGATTTAAAATTTCTTGATAAAATTATAATTTTAAGAAAGAATTCTTTTATATAAGTCTAAACCCTAACCTTAAAATCCACTTACAATATACAAATGTCAGTATTAGATTGATCAATTCTTACATTCCCTAGCAGACGACCCAAACGATATAAGTCAGTTAATAGTAAATGTAATTGAGAAATAACACAAAATACTTAAGTTATAATGAAATTAAAATTTATTACAGCTATTATCATTATTTCTGGGACACCTGAAGAATTTCAGATGCTGAAATATCCTCTGTTTCATTCGGTAAATTACCTAGCTTTTCGGAAACTAATTTCCGGAGAGCTAGGTAATTTACCGAATGAAACAGAGGATATTTCGGTCATCTGAAAATTCTTCAGGTGTCCCAGAAATAATGATAATAGCTGTAAGTAGAAAATTTAATTCTGGTGGTTTCGGGTTTCGGATAAGATTTTGAATTTCGGGTACAGTTAAGCTATAATCCGAAACCAGAAACCTTTGGATTAGGCAAAAAAGTGTTCAGTGTCCAGCCCTAACACTGGTTCTTAATTCCTAGTAGCTAATACTTAAAATAGCTAATATTAAAGCAATAATAAAATTCAATTCTTTATTAAATTTTAAATTCAATGCTAAATGAATTTAAAGAGTTATATTGAAAAAATGTTTAACAATTTTCAATTCTTTAAGGAAGTTAAACTTTTGATAAGAAACGAAATAATATGAGTGTCGCTAAAAGAAAACCCGAAAATTTAAATATAAGTCATATTTAAATTTTCGGGTTTTCTTTTAGCGATCTTATGCATCGGTGACAACAGTTATCACCTTTTGAATGATAATTATAGTTACGTTATGATGCAGATCTCCATCTAACTATTGTTACTATTGGGGTATAGAACTATCGGCAGAGTTTAGCTCCAATAGTTAACTTATATGTTCTTTGTATAGAACTCAAGGTATTTTACTAATAAATAAATGCGATTATAGTAATAACTCAAACACGTGAAGTTACGTAATTAATCCGTGATCGGGGCACTTAATTATATCTACCGGTAATCAATCAAGTAAATAAATCAAGTTATGTAATCGTAATTAAATAAATCAGTAATATCGATAGTTAATCAGTACAACCGATATTAGGTCGATACTTATTAGGTAATAAGGTAATAAGGTAATAGAGTAATAGGGTACTTAACAGTAAATGTATAATACGATCGTTAAGTCACTTAACGATAAAAGTAAGAAATACGTCACTAAACTAACAACAGTTGAGAAATCAATTCTTAATAACTCCTATATTAATGACATTGAAGTCTAAAGCTTTATTGAAAGGGCGAATAGATACCCTTTTTATACTTTCGAGATACATAATAATAAGGCTTTTACATATTCATGGGTTTATTTCTATTTGTTGGGCCCGACCAGTACCTTCTACCAGGCTTATCTTTACTAATTTAACCTTTCTTGAACTCCTAACTAAGCTTTTCTACGTTCTAGTTACTCCGCCTTACCCCCTTCCAACCTTTTTCTAAGCTTTGGCCCAACACTAGTCATTACACCTTAATAAACAAGTAAGAATCTTCAGATATAGAATAAACAAAGATGACGAATAAAATAATTATTTGTACAGATCCAAACTCTAAGCTTTCGCCACCAATAAGCCTCACAATATCCCTGTGGTTATGGCTTAGTCTTAACACACAGCGTCATTACTACCTATAGTATGTCTAGTCACGGTTTTTCCAAAGAAAAATCGTGACACTATCCTAAACTAACCCTAATTAAGATATATCTGCATCAATTCACTCTTTCATTTTTGGTGAGGAGGGGGTATTTAGAATGTTATTTTTTAAAAATTTTCAAACTCCTCAATAAACTTGTCTGAACGTTGCTCAATTTTTTTGATTTCTTTCTAAAGGCGATATAATGAATAGCTGTGTGTAATCCTTTACACTGTAACTTTCATTTTTTGCCATGCGATTATCCTAAAATAATAAATTACAAAATTAAACATTATTTAGCTAAATATATTTTTATAACTTATGCCTACCACGATTGCAGAATTCCATTAATTGATGTTATAGTGCTCTTATTATAATTCCCTTTCAGAGACATATCAATGTGTGGTAGTAAATATTCAATTGAAGTGTCCAGATCTAATGAACTTTCAAAAGAAATATCTTGAGGATTAAAATTATCGAAGGCATCCTTTGCTGTACGATTAATTTTGACTATGTCTTCAGGTGTTATAAACTTAAATTGCTCTTCAGATTTTGCTTTAATTTGAGGCAAATTTGTACTAAGTATATAACTCCATAATTCATGATCTTTGACAAGATCAATCATCATGCAATAAAAAGGATCAAAAATGTCTTTTTGATAAATTCTATCTTATAGCTGGGCAAATATATTAATTGAAAAAGATCACAAGTTTTCTAAAATAAAAAAATAAATTTAAAATTGATTAATGATGATAATGCAAAATCTTATAGTTACAGCCTATAAGATCTCTTGTAACATATTGTAAAGATCCAAAAATTGGAAATAATAAAGTTTACTATTTTTATTGGTATGAACCAGTTTCGCGATAACTATTTCACTGACATCTGTTTCGCCAACAGTCATTATACTGACAATCTATTTCACTGACAGCCCACTTTTTCAACAAATTAATCATAACAATAGGTCCAATTTTTTTTAGATAACTATAGTATTTTATTTAAAATAATTTTTTTTTTAACCTTAACTTCTATCCATTTGTCAAATATCTTTTGTTTTTGATCTTAAATTGATAATTCCAAAATAGATTTTTGACGGTTTTTGATCATTTCATTAACAATTCTTTCAAATTCATCAAGTTGATTCAAATCATCATATGAATCGAGCTTCCAGCGGAATCTGTGATATGCAAAATTATGTAGGCTAGAAACTGTAATACTTTAAAATAAGTAATAAGTGTAAATAAAAAATTAATAGAAAATTAAAATTTACAACTCTTTCCGTCAATCACTTACACAAAACTTAACTAAAAATTCGCCAGTATAAAATCCTTAATAACTCAATATTTTATTAAGATAACTG